AGGAGACAGATATTCAGCTGTTGTGGGGACCCCAGGGGAGGAAGAATAAGGTATTGTGGGTCGGGGGGGGCTTGGGTAGTCTGAAGTAGGTGGCCTATTCCATCACTATCCTCCCCCTCCCTATGGCCTTCCCCGCCCAGAGATACTTCATGTGCACTTAATGAGCCATGCATTCAATTATTGAATGCAAGGGTGAAAGGAGGGAGTGATTGCATTAGAGGTAGGAGATTCACTCCCACGAATCCTTGGGTTATGAATGGAATGGGCAGGCTCCATTACTTTCATAACTTGAGGACTACCTGTACTAGCCTAAGCCTACAGTATGCATAAATAGAGACTATGTATCAGTGTTTTTTAGTCTTGACAATTTAAGAAATGTGGACTTCAACGCCCACTTACAGTCATATACTGCATGGAGTGATGAGTAAATGAAGAATAGTTGTTCCAAAGTTCAAACAGCTGCCCCGCCTTGCAGTCATGTAATCTCATTTTAGGCACACACAACCAGCCCGCATTTATGGCTGTTTGCAATGTCCCTTGGTCATATGATTACTTTTTCCAACATTGATACTGATAACTAGCATTTATTTCCATTTTTTTGGCAAAAATGGCCCACTGCCATTCTCTAAACAACCACAATATTTGCATAATGCAATAAAGATAGTAAAATTGGGTTGGTCATGTCAATGGTCTGCTTTATGACCATCACAACTTATGATCTTAACGAGCAGGCTCCGTTACACTTGTAAATCAAGGACTATCTGTATAACCAAGAGCACTGATATTTACTGGTAATCCCTGATCCAAGACTAAACAGTGTTTATCTTGCTTAGCTTCCAAGAGTGAACAAAATTAGCTAGGTGTTACCATATCCTTTAAACAATAGCTTCATCTCTGTTAATAAGTTTTAAATGCATTTTTCTATCTCCAGATGATCTAAGTTATCGTTGGTTTCTGAATGATTTCCCAGAATTCATTACTTTGGATAAACGGCGATATGTGTCACAAACAAATGGTAACCTTTACATTGCCAAAGTTGAACCTACTGATAAAGGCAACTATTCATGCTGTGTGACTAGTAATTCAATTACTAAGAGCGTATTCAGCAGTTTCATTTCACTTATTCCTCAAGCAGACCGTAAGTATTCATCGAAAGTCTTATATATGTCAAATGTTCTTCTTATATAATGTCTCCTTTCCTTTTGTACATTTTATCCAGTTCAACGAAACAGAATATGAAAGAAATGTTTGGCTTACATTCTCTTTTCAGCTTGTTTTCTATTTCTGAATTTTAGATTTTATACCTTATTTCATCCAACTGTTTTGTTTTTGTTATCCAAAACATACTCACTCATTGAGTCTCTTTCTCTGTATGTATATGTGTGTGTGAAACAGAGAGAGAGAGAGACAAAGATAGAGAGAGGACACAACAATTGTAAATAATCAGGGAGCCAAGTTTGACAATTGCTTACCTTCAAATTTAACTTACTTGAATAATGACTGAATAATGTGTCTCTCGGAAATGTATGATATAACCTTAGACCTTAAACTTTCTACTATTAGACTTTCTACTATTGACCTCACCCCTTTCCTAAGAGGCCTGTAGGGGGCGTGCATAAGCGCACCAATGTGCCTACCGTCCCTGTCCTATTGTTTCTTTTATTTTTCTTATATGTATCCATGTATTCATAACTATGTTTTTACTTATACCTATTATCTTGTAAGCAATTGACAAACCAAATAAAATAAAAAATAAAATAAATAAAATAGGTAAGCTATAAAAATATAAATATATAAAAGCTTACAAAACAGACATTACTTTTTCCATGTTTGGAAAATCAAATACGTTTACATTTTTGACATGTGAAAGATAGGAATACAGGAAGCAATATAATAGTTAACTTTTTCAAAACAATTTTTAGTTAACTGGTAAGAAATAGATTATGTAGATGTTAAATGAACTATTGGGATTTTATCTATTTTAAAGATTTCAACAGATTTAACAGATTAACAGAGTTGGAAGGGATCTTGTAGGTCATCTAGTCCAACCCCCCTGCCCAGGCAGGAGACCCTACACTATTTCTGACAGATGGTAGTCCAGTCTCTTCTTGAAAGTTTCCAGTGATGAAGCTCCCACAGCTTCTGAAGGCAAGCTGTTCCATTGGTTGATTGCTCTCACTGTCAGAAAATTTCATCTTATTTCCAGGTTGGCCTTCAGGTGCTTTGGAAAAGAGCTTGACCCCACCCACCCCTGTGGAAGGCTCTCAGATATTGGAACACTGCTATCATGTCTCCCCTGGTCCTTCTCTTCACTAGACTAGCCATGCCCAGTTCTTGTAAACGTTCTTCATATCTTTTAGTTTCCAGTCTCCTAATCATTTTGGTTGCTCTTCTCTGCACTCCTTCTAGAGTCTCAACATCTTTTTATAGTGTGGTGACCAAAACTGGATGCAATATTCTAGGCATGGTCTTACTAAGGCTTTATAGAGTGGTTAATTTATCATAATTAATACATCACTTGATCTTGATTGTGTCCCTCTGTTAATGCAATTTAGGATTGCATTGGCTTTTGGGGCTGCTGCCGCAAACTATTGGCTCATATTTAACTGGTTGTCCACTAAGACTCCAAGATCCCTCTCACAGTTATTGCTATTAAGCCTGGTTTCACCCAGTCTATAGGTGAACTTTTGGTTTTTCTTGCCTAAGTGTAAGACTTTACTTTTCTCTACAGTGAATTTCATTTTGTTACATAGGGCCTAGTGTTCAGTCTGTCAAGATCCATCTGGATCTTCAGCTTATCTTCTAGGGCAGGGTTGTCAAACTCATGGGCTGTGGGCCGGATGCATCATGTGCTGGCCCCGCCCGCCCCCAGTTTAGCAAACAGGAAAAAAGTCCCAATATATCACCTGATGACGATGAGATAACGTGAGTTTGACACCCCTGATCTAGGGTGTTGGCTAATTCTGCCATCGTACTGTAGTATCATCCACAAATTTGGTAAGTACCACTTCTATTCCCTTATCTAAGTCGTTTATGAAGATATTGAAGAGTATTGGGCCTAAGATGGAACCTTGTGGTACTCCACTGCTTCCTTCCTTCCTTCCATTAAAGACGATTGGTTGAGTAGGGTTTGTCAGCCAGTTACAAATCCATCTGGTGGTGATGCTATCAATCCCACATTTTTCTAGCTCACCAAGAAGTATGTTGTGATCTACTTTGTCAAATGCCTTGCTGAAGTCTAAGTACTGTATATTATGGCCACAGTATTTTGCTGGTCTATTAATTTAGTCACTATGTTGAAAAATGAAATAAGATTGGTTTGGCATGATCTGTTTTTAACAAACCCATGCTGACTTCTAGTTATTACTTTACTC